TCATAGATCATTACCATAGCTCATTATCATAGATCATTATCATAGATCATTATAGCTCATTATCATAGCTCATTATCATAGCTCATTATCATAGATCATTACCATAGCTCATTATCATAGATGCACGTACTTTCAAACACAAATTATAATATGTTTTTATGAATAGATTGTTATTCAGCTGTGACAAACACAAAGAGCTCAAAGCGCAGACCTAAACACAGGCAGTGAAGGGAAACACTTTATTACATGCGTTTGTACAAAACTGAGAGAATTACATTAAAAAAGCTACTTTTCCAGTTTAAATATATCTAAATTATTCCAGCTCCAGAATCACACTCTTTCAAGAAACACCTTGAGCCAAACATACTCCAGATTCCAAACACGCCTTTAACTCGTTACTTCTGGAAATTCCACTTGTTACGATGACTAAGACCTTTTCAAAAGATACAATAGAAATATTCACTGAGTAGTTGGCTGAATGATGATTCAGAACAGCACGTCCTCGATCTTTCTATTTTAATTGTGTTATCACATTAATTCTTTGAGAACGACATCCTCTGAGTCATCCTCTTTTTATAGCAACTCACTGAATATTGATAAAGACGAAATAAATCCAACTAGAAGCACATCTGCGCCATGATCATGATTCCCCCAGCAGCAGAAACAGGAAGTTTGTATTTGGTATTATCTATAGTCCTGGTTCTAGAGTCCTGGTTCTAGAGTCCTGGTTCTATGGTCCTGGTTCTAGAGTCCTGGTTCTATGGTCCTGGTTCTATAGTCCTGGTTCTATGGTCCTGGTTCTATGGTCCTGGTTCTAGAGTCCTGGTTCTAGAGTCCTGGTTCTATAGTCCTGGTTCTATAGTCCTGGTTCTAGAGTCCTGGTTCTATGGTCCTGGTTCTATAGTCCTGGTTCTATGGTCCTGGTTCTATGGTCCTGGTTCTAGAGTCCTGGTTCTAGAGTCCTGGTTCTATGGTCCTGGTTCTATAGTCCTGGTTCTATGGTCCTGGTTCTATGGTCCTGGTTCTAGAGTCCTGGTTCTAGAGTCCTGGTTCTATAGTCCTGGTTCTATAGTCCTGGTTCTAGAGTCCTGGTTCTATGGTCCTGGTTCTATGGTCCTGGTTCTAGAGTCCTGGTTCTAGAGTCCTGGTTCTAGAGTCCTGGTTCTATGGTCCTGGTTCTATAGTCTTGGTTCTAGAGTCCTGGTTCTATGATCCTGGTTCTATGGTCCTGGTTCTAGAGTCCTGGTTCTATGGTCCTGGTTCTATAGTCCTGGTTCTATGGTCTTGGTTCTATGGTCCTGGTTCTAGAGTCCTGGTTCTATGGTCCTGGTTCTAGAGTCCTGGTTCTAGAGTCCTGGTTCTATAGTCCTGGTTCTAGAGTCCTGGTTCTAGAGTCCTGGTTCTATAGTCCTGGTTCTAGAGTCCTGGTTCTATAGTCCTGGTTCTATGGTCCTGGTTCTATGGTCCTGGTTCTAGAGTCCTGGTTCTATGGTCCTGGTTCTATGGTCCTGGTTCTATGGTCCTGGTTCTAGAGTCCTGGTTCTATAGTCCTGGTTCTATGGTCCTGGTTCTAGAGTCCTGGTTCTATAGTCCTGGTTCTATAGTCCTAGTTCTATAGTCCTGGTTCTATAGTCCTGGTTCTATAGTCCTGGTTCTAGAGTCCTGGTTCTAGAGTCCTGGTTCTATAGTCCTGGTTCTATAGTCCTAGTTCTATAGTCCTGGTTCTATAGTCCTGGTTCTATAGTCCTGGTTCTATAGTCCTGGTTCTAGAGTCCTGGTTCTATAGTCCTGGTTCTATGGTCCTGGTTCTATAGTCCTAGTTCTATAGTCCTGGTTCTATAGTCCTGGTTCTAGAGTCCTGGTTCTATAGTCCTGGTTCTATAGTCCTGGTCTAGGGTCTAAGGTCTAAGGGGGGTCTAAGTTCCAAGGGAGGGTCTAAGACACAGGTGTCAAAGTCAAGGCCCGGGGGCCAGATCCGGCCCGTGAGACCATTTCCAGTGGCCCCTGAGATGATTTTAAATGATTATATTAAATAGCAGCATAAATGGTGATAGGCAACAATGGCATGTTATCCATGACTAAGAAAATAACCATAACATTTAATTCCATAAGAAATAAAGGATTTAACCAATTCTCTTAGGAAAGAACCGCCCTCTCCACTTTTTGAACAAAACTCTCTGGTCTTATTTGACGAGTACAAATCACCAGAATGATTGACAGTTGGGAGGACCAATCGTCTTGATGATTCACCAGGAAGTAGAACATTTTCCCATATACCTTCAATATTTGGTCCAGTTTTCGGTTCAGCCCACAGTAACTGAACTAATTCTATCAGAAAAGCACATCCAAATAATATGAAACAAGTCAATTATATAGATACCTTCATATTCCAAAAATTTTTTTATAAATTAAACCCTCTTTTTTTTTGGCCCCTGACCAGCCAATTCTTTTTTTAATCGGCCCTCAACCAAAATAAGTTTGATACCCCTGGTCTAAGACATTAAAGGGGTCCATAGAGCTCACCCCGCCCCCTACAGACCAATGCTATCTATGTATTTAATGCATTTCTTGTGTTCTGTTTGATTCTCTGATCTGCTGACAAGTCAAAATCCTCCAAGACTCTGCGGTTCTGATTTAGGCTTTACAAAAATGCATTGAAATGGAAGTGTACACAGGAAAGTAAACATCATTGAAGCACGCTGAGGAGGAACAGGCCTGTGGAAGAGGCCAAAGGAATCCAGAGCCAACCAGGACATATTCTCAGCTGCTAACGCCCGACAGGACCAGACAGGGATCATTTGTCCTGTTAATTTGCCGTGGGAATCGCACCCACACCCGAGCGCCTCATCGGACACTGGCGGTCACATGTTTTAGCTGCTTAATCTCTGACAATAACCGTGTGGAGAGAGCCGCGGTGATGAGCCGCTCAAAAAGCCCATAAAAAGCCCATAAAAAGACCAGTGGGTCCTCTCGGCCTCTCCATCACCGTCTGCAGACTCACAGGTACAAACTGTGAACTGGTCTGAGGCGTCTCAAACTGGGACACACGTACGACCTTTAGTCAGGAGTTTCTATTGACCGTAATGATATAGTACGTTGTAATCTATTTTTAGTGTGTGATGTCATACTTCCAGATAAAGAGCAAGAACCAGTTTTCCTTCCATTCAATGCACACAAGAAGAATGTAAAAGGTGAGATCATTATCATGACCAACTGTGTTTTATATTTACCAAACCTCCTCTCTAAACAACACAGCTGCTAATGCTACATACTAGCATTAGCAGCTGTGTACAGTCTTGTTTGTTTGCCTATAAATCTATGTGTAGTTGTACTTGCTTGTCTTCTATTCCTCTTCTGACACTGTAATGACAATAAAGTTTAATTTAATGGAATCTAATCTAATTTAATTTAATGTGATGTCGTCTGAAACCCAGATATTTGCTTTTGCTCAATAAATGGAGCAATATTGACGTTTCAGACTAGACTGGATATGATCCCCACCTCTTTACCCCTCCCTCTACTGCACACCTGTGTCTACTGCACCTGTGTCTACTACACCTGTGTCTACTGCACCTGTGTCTACTACACCTGTGTCTACTACACACCTGTGTCTACTACACACCTGTGTCTACTGCACACCTGTGTCCACTGCACACCTGTGTCTACTGCACCTGTGTCTACTACACCTGTGTCTACTACACCTGTGTCTACTACACACCTGTGTCTACTGCACACCTGTGTCCACTGCACACCTGTGTCTACTGCACCTGTGTCTACTACACCTGTGTCTACTACACCTGTGTCTACTGCACCTGTGTCTACTACACCTGTGTCTACTACACACCTGTGTCTACTACACACCTGTGTCTACTGCACACCTGTGTCCACTGCACACCTGTGTCTACTGCACCTGTGTCTACACACCTGTGTCTACTGCACCTGTGTCTACTACACCTGTGTCTACTACACACCTGTGTCTACTGCACCTGTGTCTACTACACACCTGTGTCTACTACACCTGTGTCTACTGCACACCTGTGTCTACTACACCTGTGTCTACTGCACCTGTGTCTACTACACACCTGTGTCTACTGCACCTGTGTCTACTACACACCTGTGTCTACTACACCTGTGTCTACTGCACACCTGTGTCTACTACACCTGTGTCTACTGCACACCTGTGTCTACTACACCTGTGTCTACTACACACCTGTGTCTACTACACACCTGTGTCTACTGCACACCTGTGTCTACTGCACCTGTGTCTACTGCACACCTGTGTCTACTGCACACCTGTGTCTACTACACCTGTGTCTACTACACCTGTGTCTACTGCACCTGTGTCTACTGCACACCTGTGTCTACTACACCTGTGTCTACTACACCTGTGTCTACTGCACCTGTGTCTACTGCACCTGTGTCTACTGCACACCTGTGTCTACTACACCTGTGTCTACTACACCTGTGTCTACTGCACCTGTGTCTACTGCACACCTGTGTCTACTGCATTGAAACAGAGCCTGGTCTTCTGGTGCTAACACTATCAGCTCGTGCAGCAACCCGCCTCCTCCTCATCACCTCCACCTCACCAGTAATAATAATAATAATAATAATAATAATAATAATAATAATAATGCATTGGTTTTATACAGTTCTTTTTCAGACACTCAAAGACGCTTCACATGTCATCATTCTTTCACTCCACACACGGTGGTGATAAACTACTGCTGTAGCCACAGCTGCCCTGGGGCACACTGACAGAAGCAACCAGTCTGTGCCATCGGCCCCTCCCACCACCACCAACCATTCACACACACACCAGACTCATTCTAATGTGGGGGAAGTGTCTTGCCTAAGGACACAACAGCAGTTTGGCACTTTACAGCCGCAGCCGCCCCACTGTGGCACCTGCTGTTCCCAGAGGTTAAGTGACTTGCCCAAGGAAATGGTGAAAGTTGGGCTGGAACCCACAACCCTCTGGCTCAAAGCTCTACCAACTGATGTACATCATTACATCAGCTTCCACCTCCTCTAGACATCAGGAGGACTTCACTTCCACCTCCTCTAGACTTCAGGAGGACTTCACTTCCACCTCCTCTAGACTTCAGGAGGACTTCACTTCCACCTCCTCTAGACTTCAGGAGGACTTCACTTCCACCTCCTCTAGACTTCAGGAGGACTTCACTTCCACCTCCTCTAGACTTCAGGAGGACTTCACTTCCACCTCCTCTAGACTTCAGGAGGACTTCACTTCCACCTCCTCTAGACTTCAGGACGACTTCACTTCCACCTCCTCTAGACTTCAGGAGGACTTCACTTCCACCTCCTCTAGACTTCAGGAGGACTTCACTTCCACCTCCTCTAGACATCAGGAGGACTTCACTTCCACCTCCTCTAGACTTCAGGAGGACTTCACTTCCACCTCATCTAGACTTCAGGAGGACTTCACTTCCACCTCCTCTAGACTTCAGGAGGACTTCACTTCCACCTCCTCTAGACATCAGGAGGACTTCACTTCCACCTCCTCCTCTAGACTTCAGGACGACTTCACTTCCACCTCCTCTAGACTTCAGGAGGACTTCACTTCCACCTCCTCTAGACTTCAGGACGACTTCACTTCCACCTCCTCTAGACTTCAGGAGGACTTCACTTCCACCTCCTCTAGACTTCAGGACGACTTCACTTCCACCTCCTCTAGACATCAGGAGGACTTCACTTCCACCTCCTCTAGACTTCAGGAGGACTTCACTTCCACCTCCTCTAGACATCAGGAGGACTTCACTTCCACCTCCTCTAGACTTCAGGACGACTTCACTTCCACCTCCTCTAGACATCAGGAGGACTTCACTTCCACCTCCTCTAGACTTCAGGAGGACTTCACTTCCACCTCCTCTATACTTCAGGAGGACTTAACTTCCACCTCCTCTAGACTTCAGGAGGACTTCACTTCCACCTCCTCTAGACATCAGGAGGACTTCACTTCCACCTCCTCTAGACTTCAGGACGACTTCACTTCCACCTCCTCTAGACATCAGGAGGACTTCACTTCCACCTCCTCTAGACTTCAGGAGGACTTCACTTCCACCTCCTCTAGACTTCAGGAGGACTTCACTTCCACCTCCTCTAGACTTCAGGAGGACTTCACTTCCACCTCCTCTAGACTTCAGGAGGACTTCACTTCCACCTCCTCTAGACTTCAGGAGGACTTCACTTCCACCTCATCTAGACTTCAGGAGGACTTCACTTCCACCTCATCTAGACTTCAGGAGGACTTCACTTCCACCTCATCTAGACTTCAGGAGGACTTCACTTCCACCTCCTCTAGACTTCAGGAGGACTTCACTTTCATCATACGTGCTGTATTTACCACACGCATGACGTACTTTCATACCACACCATATGATAGCTTTTATCTGAACTGTTCCAGATTGAGAGTTTTCTATTTGCTTTTTAGTCTGAGATATTCTACTGGCATTGATCAAACCACATTTCTTCATATCTGGATCAGAATCAGAAAACAATTATTACCATTGTCTGTAACAGGAAGTCACAAACTAGGAATGTGCTTTGGCTCATGGTGCAAACAAGTTACACTAGTAAAAGTAGATCCAAAGCATGCATAAAACCGTCTTTCTACGACAGACAAATGTCTATGATAGAAAAGTGTCTAAGATACAGGATTCCACACTGTTCACACAGTGCAAGAGTGATTACAGTTTTATAATTGCTAAGTTTCTGTATAATCTCATGGACAAAAGCATGAACCCACTTTGTGTCATGCTCTGTCTGTCCAGTGAAACTTATCTCTGTTCTTTTTATGCACTGATAAACGAGTGCACATGGAGCTCTTGCCAAAACCACTTGAGAAGTAACAACACTCATCATTGCCAAATAGAAATAACAAGACTCAAGGGCAATGCAAATATTGTAGGAATATATTAGACCAACAACATAATGGGGGATTACTCGTGGGAGACTCACTAATGTAACGGAGAATACTTTCATGAGGGTCATTCTGTCATCTCTGTATCTGGCTCATCCTGATGTTTTACAGTGTAGTGTTGAGACTCGGGCTGCAACATGAACCAGGCCGAGGTGAAGGCTGCAGGGATCTCTTTCTCTGACTGCCCTTCCCCCACACGCCTGAGCCCTTCGCTGCATTAGGTAACACCGGCCGAGCACCGAGGAAATGTAGAAGCTACTCGTCCAAATGTGACTAATCATGAGTCATAGTTTAGGAATAAAAATACACAGGACAGATGTGAACGTAGCCAGTGATGAAGATGAAGATGAAGATGAGTGATGAAGATGAAGATGAGTTTGGGTGAATACTTTCAAGCTGTATGTTATTTTAAATATCTGCCTCTTCACATATTCAACTACCAGCACTAAGGCAAGTGCAACAAGGATCAATGATGTATAAATATGTTTTCATGTAAAAAGTGTCGCTGTTGAAGTGACTCTGGTTCAGCAGAAAGAACAAAACACTGCAGCCATGACACATAGATCTATTCCGGGTGGAAAATATTGGAAATGATATCTATATCGCAGTCCTTGACATAAGTATGAACAGAAAGTGGTAGGGACATAACTTGTGGGGAACCCCAGGGGTCAATGCTCGGAACCACATTATTTATATTGAACATATGATATAATATACAATGGAATATGTAAATTATCATAAATGATTAAATGTACATTATTTTCTGATGACACAAACATTGGGCCTCATTCACGAATAACTTCGTAAGAAACTTCTTAAATTTCTACTCAAGTCGTTCTTCAGTAGATTTCTAAGAAGTCCCCACGTGGGCTTCATCAACGCGCTCGTAAGCCGCTGAATTGTTCGCAGCTGTTCTCTCAGATTGATGAATCCCATTTCCTCGTAAGTAGAGCGCGCGTGCCAGGTGCTTCATTAGCATAGGTACTTAGCATAGGTAACCGCCCATTAATGCCCATATAAGGGACTGAAGGGCCGTGTGCAGACGGCAGAGGAAACAGCAACAGGCCTAAAGCAAAGAGTTACACGGAGCAAAAGAGTCACCCTTTTTTCTTCTTTTTCCAGACTGAGAATAAAGTCATAAAATGTTGACTTAAAAGTCGAAATATTATAAGAATAAAGTCGAACTAACAAAATTATAAGATTAATCTAAAAATATGATGAGATTAATCTCAAAATGCTATGAGATAAATTTAAAAATATATTATATATTAATTTAAAAATGAATCTCAAAATGTTTTGAGATTAATCTAAAAATATTTTGGACCCTGGGAGGAGATCCAGCACGGACCAGCGCTGAGACCAATGCAGACCCGAGGAGAGACTGGAGTGACCAGCACACAGAAACCAGCGCGGACCTATAGGAGAGACCGCATAGACTGTAGTGACCTGACTGAAGAAGAGAGACCGCATAGACCAGACTGGAGAGACCAGCGCGGACCCGTTTGGATCCAGGAGCGTGCAGCACGGACCCGTATGGAGAGACCAGTGCAGACCCGTCTAGAGCCATGGGAGAGACCAGCGCAGACCCGTATAGATCCATGGGAGAGACCAGTGCAGACCCGTATAGATCCATGGGAGAGACCAGCGCAGACCCATATAGATCCATGGGAGAGACCAGTGCAGACCCGTCTAGAGCCATGGGAGAGACCAGCGCAGACCCGTATAGATCCATGGGAGAGACCAGTGCAGACCCGTCTAGAGCCATGGGAGAGACCAGCGCAGACCCGTATAGATCCATGGGAGAGACCAGTGCAGACCCGTCTAGAGCCATGGGAGAGACCAGCGCAGACCCGTATAGATCCATGGGAGAGACCAGTGCAGACCCGTCTAGAGCCATGGGAGAGACCAGCGCAGACCCGTCTAGAGCCATGGGAGAGACCAGTGCAGACCCGTCTAGAGCCATGGGAGAGACCAGGGCAGACCCGTATAGATCCATGGGAGAGACCAGCGCAGACCCATATAGATTCATGGGAGAGACCAGTGCAGACCCGTATAGATCCATAGGAGAGACCAGTACAGACCCGTATAGATCCATGGGAGAGACCAGTGCAGACCCGTATAGATCCATAGGAGAGACCAGTGCAGACCTGTATAGATCCATAGAGCCCAGTGCAGACCCGTATAGATCCCTGGGAGAGACCCAGTGCAGACCCGTATAGATCCATAGAGCCCAGTGCAGACCCGTATAGATCCATGGGAGAGACCAGTGCAGACCCGTATAGATCCATGGGAGAGACCAGCGCAGACCCGTATAGATCCATGGGAGAGACCAGTGCAGACCCGTATATGGGAGAGACCAGTGCAGACCCGTATAGATCCATGGGAGAGACCAGTGCAGACCCGTCTAGATCCATGGGAGAGACCAGTGCAGACCCGTCTAGATCCATAGGAGAGACCAGCGCAGAGACTCAGCGCGGACCCAGTAACCTCCTGCAGCAGCAGTATATATGCCGTTGTTCTGTGGCCCGTGGATAAAGAAATGCCCCCTATAAATAGGAAGGGATCACTAATACACGGCAAGATTTCCACTGTATTTGATAAAGCGTTGGCACATTTCATTTCAAAATGAATTAAAAAATAGGCTAAATTACGATTAACATTTAAATAAATAAATACATACATCAATATGACGGACATATCACTGGAATGTTGTATTTTTATTAAACTTCACCAAAGAGGACAACCCCGGCGTGTGAACATGTCGGCACTGAATGCGTACGAGTGCTCCTGAGGACTCGTAGGATTTGTACTTACCCAAGAGAAATTCTGGTTACGAGAAAAATTCGTGAATGCCACTTTCTTCGTAAAAACCTCGTAAGTAGGATTTACGTACAAATCTGTTCCTAAGAACCGTTCGTGAATGAGGCCCATTATTTGTGCTGGTGGCAACTTTCTAGACTGTAACTTTCTAGATTTAATCTGGAACTTGGTTTGATAATAATGAATTGTCACTAAATCTAACAAAAGACGAGATTATTGAAGAACCTCTTGGCTCTGACACATCATGATGTACTAGAGCCAAGTGGACTCATAAAACCTTTGGTGATGTTCAAAACAGATGAGCTGGCTCCTCTTGACGTGAAGGACCAGCGGCTCTACTTTGAGCTCCTCATGTGTGGCATCCATTTGCAACTCTATCATAAAAAACAGCAGAACCGAAGCTTTTTGTGCTGAGTCTCTTTGTCCTGAATGGAAACTGAATGGTCTGAATAACTTAGAGCAGATACTTACGGGAGGAAAGGCGACCCGCTGCACGGTCGAGCGAAACATCACATGCCTGAAAGAGAAAGGAGCTGATGGGACGTTCTGAGGCTTCTGTGTTTGGATCAAAAACTCTCTCCAGAACTCACTTGCACGGAACCTTCTCCACCGGTTTGGTTGCGACGTCATAGTGGCACGGAGAAGTCTGCAGATCCTGGAAACAGGAACATTAAAATAACATTATAATCTTTGTTTGGTTACTTTAATGTGTTCATGTTACATACATGACAAAGTAAGATTTGTTTTCTACGTGCAACACAATACATTATTTATTTATCACTCTCGACGCGACCTGGGATTAAACTGGTTGTTTGACGCGGGGGGAGCAAAGTAACAATAAGGATACTAATTATATAACATAAGTTAAAAAGCCACAATCATCACGTAAAAATGCTTGTATGGATGAACTTTATTGGACTGATAACGTCAGTTTTTAGGATAGCACTCCTAGCTTAGGTATAGATAGGTAGGTATATTTACTGTATATTATGTTGTGGCCGATGTGGCCAGTGAAGAGCGGAGGCCCAGGGGAGGTATCCGGCGGGCCATACTTATTCGTATATCGTGGCTATAGGATGGGAATGCTGGTCATACCGGGCTTCCGGAAGAAAAGGGATGACAGGCTGAAAGGCTGAGCAGGCTTTCCCCGCACCCAGGCTGAACGGATAAAAGGAATTGCCAGGACTCAAAAGGATGAAAGGCTAAAACGGCTGCAAGGATACACAAGGGATGAAACGGATGAACAGGCAGCACAGGCTCAACTGTTACACGGACTCAAACGGCGTGCCCAGGCTGCCAGGATACGCGCACCCACCAGGCTCTCCCCAGCGATGAAAAGGATACTACACGGCTGCCCGGATGCAAACGGATCAACGGCTGAAATGGCTAAACGGGATGAAGGATCAACCGGCTTACCAGGCTGACCAGGACTCACCGTGATACACAGGCTGCACCGGCTGACCGAGGTCTCCCACAGGGATGCAGTACGGCAACAAGGCTTGCAACGCAAACAGGCTCCACGGAACAACGGGCTGCCCGGCAGAACATACGGATCCAAACGGATACAACGAGCAACGGATCAAAGGCCTGAACCGGAGCAAAGGCAAACAGGCTAACACGGAATGCACGGAGGTAGCACGGTCGGGCCCAGGCGGAACGGTATGCCCAGGAATGAGGATGGGTGCAGAGGACTAAAGGATTGAAAGGCTGGAAGGCTACAACGGATGCAAGGATAACTGGCTCCCACGGATGCCCAAGGGCTGACAGGATCCCCGGCTGACATGCTACATGCGCTACCGGCTGCCGGACTCCCCGGCTCACAGGCTGCAAGGAATCGAAAGGATAGCGGAAGAAAAAAGGATTACAAGGATAACACGTGATGCAAAGGATGAAAGGATAAACAGGAATGGACAGGATACAACCGGAATGAAAGGCTAAAAGAGATCCAAGGCTGACAAGGATGAAAGCATGAAAGGCTGACATCAAGTATCACACCATTGATGCTACATGGATTATACCATAAAAGGATGTAAAGGCTCAACCGGCTGCATCCGGATGCAAGGCATTAAAGGCCTTCAACGGCAACACGGATCAACGCTAAAGGCTTACAAGGCTGAAAGGATAAAAGGATGAACGGACCCTCACCGGCTTCAACAGGATGACAGGCATTCAACGGACCATCCCCCTTCATCCCCCTTCACCCCTTCATCCCTTCACCCCTTCATCCCTTCATCCCTTCACCCCTTCATCCCTTCATCCCTTCATCCCTTCAACCCCTCACCCCTTCATCCCTTCACCCCTTCATCCCTTCACCCCTTCACCCCTTCACCCCTTCATCCCTTCATCCCTTCACCCCTTCATCCCTTCATCCCTTCACCCCTTCATCCCTTCATCGCTTCATCCCTTCACCCCTTCATCCCTTCACCCCTTCATCCCTTCATCCCTTCACCCCTTCACCCCTTCATCCCTTCACCCCTTCATCCCTTCATCCCTTCATCCCTTCACCCCTTCACCCCTTCACCCCTTCTATCCCTTCACCCCTTCATCCCTTCATCCCTTCATCCCGTCACCCCTTCACCCCTTCACCCCTTCATCCCTTCACCCCTTCATCCCTTCACCCCTTCATCCCTTCATCCCTTCACCCCTTCATCCCTTCATCCCTTCACCCCTTCATCCCTTCATCCCTTCACCCCTTTATCCCTTCACCCCTTCATCCCTTCACCCCTTCATCCCTTCACCCCTTCATCCCTTCATCCCTTCACCCCTTCATCCCTTCACCCCTTCATCCCTTCACCCCTTCATCCCTTCATCCCTTCAGATTCATTTATTTGCCATTTGCAGTAAAACCACATTGGAAAAACTTCACCCCTTCATCCCTTCACCCCGTCATCCCTTCACCCCTTCATCCCTTCACCCCTTCATCCCTTCACCCCTTCATCCCTTCACCCCTTCACCCCTTCACCCCTTCATCCCTTCACCCCTTCATCCCTTCATCCCTTCACCCCTCACCCCTTCATCCCTTCACCCCTTCATCCCTTCACCCCTTCACCCCTTCACCCCTTCATCCCTTCATCCCTTCATCCCTTCATCCCTTCACCCCTTCACCCCTTCACCACTTCACCCCTTCACCCCGTCATCCCTTCACCCCTTCATCCCTTCATCCCTTCACCCCTTCACCCCTTCACCCCTTCATCCCTTCATCCCTTCACCCCTTCATCCCTTCACCCCTTCACCCCCTCATCCCTTCACCCCTTCACCCCTTCATCCCTTCATCCCTTCACCCCTTCATCCCTTCACCCCTTCATCCCTTCATCCCTTCACCCCTTCACCCCTTCATCCCTTCACCCCTTCATCCCTTCATCCCTTCACCCCTTCATCCCTTCATCCCTTCACCCCTGCATCCCTTCATCCGTTCAGATTCATTTATTTGCCATTTGCAGTAAAACCACATTGGAAAAACTTCACCCCTTCATCCCTTCACCCCTTCACCCCTTCATCCCTTCACCCCTTCACCCCTTCATCCCTTCATCCCTTCACCCCTTCATCCCTTCACCCCTTCACCCCTTCATCCCTTCACCCCTTCATCCCTTCACCCCTTCATCCCTTCACCCCTTCATCCCTTCATCCCTTCACCCCTTCACCCCTTCATCCCTTCATCCCTTCACCCCTTCATCCCTTCATCCCTTCATCCCGTCACCCCTTCATCCCTTCCCCCCTTCACCCCTTCATCCCTTCACCCCTTCATTCCTTCACCCCTTCATCCCTTCATCCCTTCACCCCTTCATCCCTTCACCCCTTTATCCCTTCACCCCTTCATCCCTTCACCCCTTCATCCCTTCACCCCTTCATCCCTTCATCCCTTCACCCCTTCATCCCTTCACCCCTTCACCCCTTCATCCCTTCACCCCTTCATCCCTTCATCCCTTCAGATTCATTTATTTGCCATTTGCAGTAAAACCACATTGGAAAAACTTCACCCCTTCATCCCTTCACCCCGTCATCCCTTCACCCCTTCATCCCTTCACCCCTTCACCCCTTCATCCCTTCACCCCTTCATCCCTTCACCCCTTCATCCCTTCACCCCTTCATCCCTTCATCCCTTCACCCCTTCATCCCTTCACCCCTCACCCCTTCATCCCTTCACCCCTTCATCCCTTCACCCCTTCACCCCTTCACCCCTTCATCCCTTCACCCCTTCATCCCTTCATCCCTTCATCCCTTCACCCCTTCATCCCTTCACCCCTTCACCCCTTCACCCCTTCACCACTTCACCCCTTCATCCCTTCACCCCTTCATCCCTTCATCCCTTCACCCCTTCACCCCTTCACCCCCTCATCCCTTCACCCCTTCACCCCTTCATCCCTTCACCCCTTCATCCCTTCACCCCTTCATCCCTTCATCCCTTCACCCCTTCACCCCTTCATCCCTTCACCCCTTCATCCCTTCATCCCTTCAGATTCATTTATTTGCCATTTGCAGTAAAACCACATCGGAAAAACTTCACCCCTTCATCCCTTCATCCCTTCACCCCTTCACCCCTTCATCCCTTCATCCCTTCACCCCTTCATCCCTTCACCCCTTCATCCCTTCACCCCTTCATCCCTTCACCCCTTCACCCCTTCACCCCTTCATCCCTTCACCCCTTCACCCCTTCATCCCTTCACCCCTTCACCCCTTCATCCCTTCACCCCTTCATCCCTTCACCCTTTCATCCCTTCACCCCTTCATCCCTTCACCCTTTCATCCCTTCATCCCTTCACCCCTTCACCCCTTCATCCCTTCACCCCTTCATCCCTTCACCCGTTCATCCCTTCACCCCTTCATCCCTTCATCCCTTCACCCCTTCACCCCTTCACCCCTTCATCCCTTCACCCCTTCACCCCTTCATCCCTTCACCCCTTCATCCCTTCACCCCTTCACCCCTTCATCCCTTCATCCCTTCACCCTTTCATCCCTTCATCCCTTCACCCCTTCATCCCTTCACCCCTTCACCCCTTCATCCCTTCACCCCTTCATCCCTTCATCCCTTCACCCCTTCATCCCTTCACCCCTTCACCCCTTCATCCCTTCATCCCTTCACCCCTTCATCCCTTCACCCCTTCATCCCTTCACCCCTTCATCCCTTCACCCCTTCATCCCTTCATCCCTTCACCCCTTCACCCCTTCATCCCTTCACCCCTTCACCCCTTCATCCCTTCATCCCTTCATCCCTTCACCCCTTCATCCCTTCATCCCTTCACCCCTTCATCCCTTCATCCCTTCACCCTTCATCCCTTCATCCTTCATCTCTTCACCCCTTCATCCCTTCATCCCTTCACCCCTTCATCCCTTCATCCCTTCATCCCTTCACCCCTTCATCCCTTCATCCCTTCACCCCTTCATCCCTTCACCCTTCACCCTTCACCCCTTCATCCCTTCATCCCTTCACCCCTTCATCCCTTCATCCCTTCACCCCTTCATCCCTTCATCCCTTCATCCCTTCACCCCTTCATCCCTTCACCCCTTCATCCCTTCACCCCTTCATCCCTGCACCCCTTCCTCCCTTTCACCCCTTCATCCCTTCACCCCTTCATCCCTTCATCCCTTCATCCCTTCACCCCTTCATCCCTTCATCCCTTCACCCCTTCATCCCTTCACCCCTTCATCCCTTCACCCCTTCATCCCTTCATCCTTCCGTGGCCTCCACATCAACACCAAATATTCTCAATCTGTAGAAATTCAAGAGGATTTTTCCAATTTTTTGGAAAGACCCGCCCTCTCCACTTCTTGAACAAATCTCTCTGCTCTGATTGGACGAGCATGTATCAGCAGAATGATCTTGTCCTAATGATAATAATCCATGACACCAAATAAACACGTCTATATTCTCTCAATCTGGCGCCCGCATATGTTTTGCTATATAAGAACTATATCTTTCTTTCATTATTTGATCAAACATGAAACGTCCTAAAACCAATTGTAATTTCTTTATTTCATAATTGATCATTATTTAATCAGGAAAGTCCAACCGGGAGTTCTGAATCTGTTTTTCAGGGGCTTCAGAGAGAGAGGAAACTGCAGCACCCGGAGGAAAAACATCACAGGCACGAGGAGAACATGCAAACTCCACTCAAAAAGGCCTTGTTCAGAGCTAACCACTCACTACACTACACTACACTAGTATGTAACTACATTCTGGGAGCTCATGTCTGAGGCAAAACAACACGTCACCATAGCAACAGTCCACCCAACTAAACACACTGTAGTTTTACAACGCTGCTTTATCTGGAGGTTATTGGACTGTAATTCATCAGTGACAAACAGCCACAAAGAAAATCTCAGGAGAATGAGTCGTTGATTACTTATTTTATGGTTATGAAAGTGTTCAGCGTTTATGTGTTTTATGAGAGATCTCTGAGATTATGGCAGGTTCCTTCATTTGGGTCTGGTGTCGTGGCAGTAACCGGGCCCTCTCCGTCAGAACACATGTGTCTCCGTCCTGTTGAACCTTTACTTTTGACTGAACCTTTGACTGAACCTTTTCTGGATCCAAAGTGTGTAAAACTTCAGAGATGTCCTTAGTTTGTTTGTATGTATCCACGTTCTCTTCTTTACAACAAAAGCAACTGTGACGCTCCAGTGTTTGCCTGAAATAAAAACAAAAGAAGTAAAAAAGCAGCGAGTACGAGGAAACCCTGACCCACGGATCTAAACATTAACTAAATATGATCTTACACACTACAGCACCATGTGTGACTACAGCACCATGTGTGACTACAGCACCATGTGTGACTACAGCACCATGTGTGACTACAGCACCATGTGTGACTACAGCACCATGTGTGACTACGAACCATGTGTGACTACAGAACCATGTGTGACTACAGAACCATGTGTGACTACAACACCATGTGTGACTACAGAACCATGCGTGACTACAGAACCATGTGTGACTACAGCACCATGTGTGACTACAGAACCATGCGTGACTACAGAACCATGTGTGACTACAGAACCATGTGTGACTACAGAACCATGTGTGACTACAGCACCATGTGTGACTACAGCACCATGTGTGACTACAGCACCATGTGTGACTACAGCACCATGTGTGACTACGAACCATGTGTGACTACAGAACCATGTGTGACTACAGCACCATGTGTGACTACAGAACCATGTGTGACTACAGCACCATGTGTGACTACAGAACCATGTGTGACTACAGAACCATGTGTGACTACAGCACCATGTGTGACTACGAACCATGTGTGACTACAGAACCATGTGTGACTACAGCACCATGTGTGACTACAGAACCATGTGTGACTACAGCACCATGTGTGACTACAGAACCATGTGTGACTACAGAACCATGTGTGACTACAGCACCATGTGTGACTACAGCACCATGCGTGACTACAGAACCATGCGTGACTACAGAACCATGTGTGACTACAGCACCATGTGTGACTACAGAACCATGTGTGACTACAGAACCATGTGTGACTACAGAACCATGTGTGACTACAGAACCATGTGTGACTACAGAACCATGTGTGACTACAGCACCATGTGTGACTACAACACCATGTGTGACTACAGAACCATGTGTGACTACAGAACCATGTGTGACTACAACACCATGTGTGACTACAGAACCATGTGTGACTACAGCACCATGTGTGACTACAGAACCATGTGTGACTACAGCACCATGTGTGACTACAGCACCATGTGTGACTACAGAACCATGTGTGACTACAGCACCATGTGTGACTACGAACCATGTGTGACTACAGAACCATGTGTGACTACAGCACCATGTGTGACTACAGAACCATGTGTGACTACAGCACCATGTGTGACTACAGAACCATGTGTGACTACAGAACCATGTGTGACTACAGCACCATGTGTGACTACGAACCATGTGTGACTACAGAACCATGTGTGACTACAGCACCATGTGTGACTACAGAACCATGTGTGACTACAGCACCATGTGTGACTACAGAACCATGTGTGACTACAGAACCATGTGTGACTACAGCACCATGTGTGCTACAGCACCATGCGTGACTACAGAACCATGCGTGACTACAGAACCATGTGTGACTACAGCACCATGTGTGACTACAGAACCATGTGTGACTACAGAACCATGTGTGACTACAGAACCATGTGTGACTACAGAACCATGTGTGACTACAGAACCATGTGTGACTACAGCACCATGTGTGACTACAGAACCATGTGTGACTACAGAACCATGTGTGACTACAGAACCATGTGTGACTACAGAACCATGTGTGACTACAGCACCATGTGTGACTACAGAACCATGTGTGACTACAGCACCATGTGTGACTTCAGAACCATGTGTGACTACAGCACCATGTGTGACTACAGAACCATGTGTGACTACAGAACCATGTGTGACTACAGAACCATGTGTGACTACAGCACCATGTGTGACTACAGCACCATGTGTGACTACAGCACCATGTGTGACTACGAACCATGTGTGACTACGAACCATGTGTGACTACAGAACCATGTGTGACTACGAACCATGTGTGACTACAGAACCATGTGTGACTACAGAACCATGTGTATACAGAACCATGTGTATACGGTCAGTTACTGTCTATGACCTGTCCTGTTACAAAGGTATACGTCACCATGGTAACCACACCTGAGGCTATTCGTTTCCAAATGCATCTTGTCAGAGAGATTGTGAGATTTAAAAGTGAAAACAGATATTTTCTCTTCCTGTCTCTTGCAGCGTGCTTTGCATCTAAACCTTATTCTTCAAACTGAGCAGGTTTATTTGTATGGCACAGTTCATACCATGTGCTTACATACTGTAGATACAACCACACATTAGAATGAACAACTCTCCTTGTCTCTGACTCCCAGAGTGACGTTCTCCGGTCGAGGGCAGTTTTTGAACGAATACGTCCTGTTCCGCTTCAGAGCTTCTTGTGTGGAGTCGGTGAAGCTGTAGGCTCCAGGGAGAAGCAGGTGTCCACTGCCCCCTCCCCCCGCTGAGGGACCCCGCCCCACACTTTTAAACCCATAGGTCCTCTGGACCGGGTTCAGCTCGGTCTCCTGGAGGAAGTCTCTGACGGGGTACAGACCCGGGACCGGGGTGTCCTGCAGCACACGGTACAGATGGTGAGAGTGTGGGAGTGGGGTCTGCGTTAGCATTAGCATTAGCATTGACCCTGACCCATCTGAATAAAGTTGATCTTATCTTAAAATAGTTTTTGGAGTGTAATTACTTATGTTGTCTATTTCTATGTCATTATTTTTCTAATTGAACTTATATTTATTTACCAGAGGAGAGTGCTCGTTACCATAGCAACACTGTTTAATTGCAGAAGTTAGCATTTGGTAGCATTTTGACAAACTACTTTTTTTTATATATAAGTTATATCCATCAGTTAAAAACTGTATAAATGACTTCTTTGACAGAAAAAGTACCAACCTTTTGGGGAATTTTCATTTTCATGAATAATCTTATGATATTTTTTGCAGATCATTGGAACATTCTCCACATTCCTCGTGTTCATTTAGAGATTTCTTCCAGTGTCAGACCAGTCCATTACACACTTATAGTCTGAATGATATTATCTGATCCTTCTGTGGCTGCATTCTCTACACACAACACACCCGTCTGCCCTGTCCGACCCGCAGGGGCTGTTAGATAAGCCAGGCCGAGCCAGGCCGAGCCGAGCCGAGCCAGGCCGAGCCAGGCCGAGCCAGGCCGAGCCAGGCCGAGCCAGGCCGAGCCAGGCCGAGCCAGGCCGAGCCGAGCCAGGCCGAGCCAGGCCGAGCCGAGCCGACAGTAGCACAGAGACGGGACGAGACATTCACTCACACCTACTTTTAACGTGTCCAGCCACCAGCTCCCGCGGCCGCACGCGTCCTGCCGGAGGTTGGCCTGAGGAGAAGACAAGGTTAAAGGTTAAAGGTCAGCAGCGGTGAAGTTTAAACCACTCTGCCAAAGAAACACCGCTTTATTTTTATTTTTTATTTGTTAGTGACATATGAACCAACAGAGACTGGCCTCCTGCTGGGACTCTGAGGAGCACAGGGACTGGACTCCTGCTGGGACTCTGAGGAGCACAGGGACTGGACTCCTGCTGGGACTCTGAGGAGCACAGGGACTGGACTCCTGCTGGGACTCTGAGGAGCACAGGGACTGGCCTCCTGCTGGGACTCTGAGGAGCACAGGGACTGGACTCCTGCTGGGACTCTGAGGAGCACAGGGACTGGCCTCCTGCTGGGACTCTGAGGAGCACAGGGACTGGACTCCTGCTGGGACTCTGAGGAGCACAGGGACTGGCCTCCTGCTGGGACTCTGAGGAGCACAGGGACTGGACTCCTGCTGGGACTCTGAGGAGCACAGGGACTGGCCTCCTGCTGGGACTCTGAGGAGCACAGGGACTGGACTCCTGCTGGGACTCTGAGGAGCACAGGGACTGGCCTCCTGCTGGGACTCTGAGGAGCACAGGGACTGGCCTCCTGCTGGGACTCTGAGGAGCACAGGGACTGCCTCCTGCTGGGACTCTGAGGAGCACAGGGACTGCCTCCTGCTGGTCCCAGAGTCAGGACTAAACATGGGGAGGCAGATTTTCAAATGTATGCAGCTAAAATCTGAAACAGTCTTCTTGAAAATGTGACACAGACTTCTACTCCGACAAAGTTGACAAATCTAGGACTGTGTGTTTCTGATCCAGAACTCCAAAGCTAAGCAGGGCAGGGCCTGGTCAGCACTGTGATGGGAGACAACTGGGATGAACAGCTGCCTGAGGATGTTAAGGTCTTTGAGTGTCTAAAAGCACCATCAGCATTTACTATTGCATATTTTCTTTTCCTTCAAGAGTAAAATATTTCTGTCGAATCCTCCAGAAAGTAATCCTCTAAGTGAGTAACGATACTGTCCATTTGTGGTGCATGGGGATCCATGACACACCAGTGACAATCACAGGCTTCAGAATAAAAATCTAAAATCACCTTTGACTTTGTGGATAACAGCGGAAAACAATTATACAGAGCTTTTTGAGAATTCTCTAAATGATCACATTCCACTACTGTGTGCACGATCAGGGGACATCTGGTGGCCCGGAGCTCTCTCTCTTGTCCCATTCATTCATTCTAAATAAAGATTACTACATTCATTCATGTGTCATTGTGTGTGTGTGTGTGCGTGTGTGTGTGTGTCATCCCGGTGCCAGGCAGCCGGAGTCCATGAAGCCCACACACAAACTCACCTTATCACTGGTGCCTCTGGCCACGGCGTGCTCTCGTGTGGACATGGTGCTGTTTTTCCACTGTCTCGGGTTGTGGCTGAGTGTGTTGTTTTGTGTGTGTTGTTATCGAGTGTGTTGTGGCCGTGTGTGTGTTGTTATCGAGTGTGTTGTTTTTGTGTGTGTTGTTATCGAGTGTGTTGTGGCCGTGTGTGTGTTGTTATCGAGTGTGCTGTGGCCGTGTGTGTGTTGTTATCGAGTGTGCTGTGGCCGTGTGTGTGTTGTTATCGAGTGTGCTGTGGCCGTGTGTGTGTTGTTATCGAGTGTGCTGTGGCCGTGTGTGTGTTGTTATCGAGTGTGCTGTGGCCGTGTGTGTGTTGTTATCGAGTGTGCTGTGGCCGTGTGTGTGTTGTTATCGAGTGTGTTGTGGCCGTGTGTGTGTTGTTATCGAGTGTGTTGTGGCCGTGTGTGTGTTGTTATCGAGTGTGCTGTGGCCGTGTGTGTGTTGTTATCGAGTGTGTTGTGGCCGTGTGTGTGTTGTTATCGAGTGTGCTGTGGCCGTGTGTGTGTTGTTATCGGGCGAGCTGCAGGATCCAGTGACACCTGAACCACTGTTGAACCTCTGTTTCTATAGCAGCAACTCACTACGATCAATGTTTCAGCGAGCCGTGGCGGTGGTGTCGGCCGTGGCGGTGGTGTCGGCCGTGGCGGTGGTGTCGGCCGTGGCGGTGGTGTCGGCCGTGGCGGTGGTGTCGGCCGTGGCGGTGGTGTCGGCCGTGGCGGTGGTGTCGGCGTGGCGGTGGTGTCGGCCGTGGCGGTGGTGTCGGCCGTGGCGGGTGTCGGCCGTGGCGGTGGTGTCGGCCGTGGCGGGTGTCGGCCGTGGCGGTGGTGTCGGCCGTGGCGGGTGTCGGCCGTGGCGGTGGTGTCGGCCGTGGCGGTGGTGTCGGCCGTGGCGGGTGTCGGCCGTGGCGGTGGTGTCGGCCGTGGCGGGTGTCGGCCGTGGCGGTGGTGTCGGCCGTGGCGGTGGTGTCGGCCGTGGCGGGTGTCGGCCGTGGCGGTGGTGTCGGCCGTGGCGGGTGTCGGCCGTGGCGGTGGTGTCGGCCGTGGCGGGTGTCGGCCGTGGCGGGTGTCGGCCGTGGCGGGTGTTGGCCGTGGCGGGTGTTGGCCGTGGCGGGTGTCGGCCGTGGCGGGTGTCGGCCGTGGCGGTGGTGTCGGCCGTGGCGGTGGTGTCGGCCGTGGCGGTGGTGTCGGCCGTGGCGGGGGTCGGCCGTGGCGGTGGTGTCGGCCGTGGCGGTGGTGTCGGCCGTGGCGGGTGTCGGCCGTGGCGGGTGTCGGCCGTGGCGGGTGTCGGCCGTGGCGGGTGTTGGCCGTGGCGGTGGACGTTATATTTAGACCCACTGGACTAAGACAAAGAGAGGTCCAGCTTTGTGGCTCCGGTAACACCAGGAGTACACTCTAAATACATCCAAAAAAAAGAGGGTTTTTATGCTCTTTGCACGGCTGGATCTCAATACTAAATCTATTCATACAAATAAACTACCTGCAGAAATGTTTTAGATTAATCCTTAAATCTCAAACAGTCATCCAGAAAATGTGAGACAGGCTTCTACTGCAGGTTAAGAGCAGTAGTGTGTAGCTGTTTGTTTGTTTGAATCATTTTAATGTCTTTGAGCTGTCTGTGTATATCTCCCTGAACTCCCACAGCGCCTCCCTCTGGGAAAGGACAGTGGAAAATGACCGGCTGCAAATACACTCCTGTGAAGGTAAAGAATGCAATTTAAAAACAAAACATGGCATTAAAATCATGAATAATCACAGCACATTAAAAACATAGTGAATATAATCCCTCAGTTGTAGCAGCTAAACAGAGCAGATTTCAACCTGGATTTGAACATTGTTGTAGAAACTTGTCTCACATATTCAGGAAGACTGCTCCAGATCTTAGCTGCATGAACCTGAAACGTTATCATTAAGCTAAAAATATAATGCATAATATGTCTTTGTCCAGCTCTAAATCACAGCAGTAGTTATCTCAGAGGACTTTACAAAACCGTTGAATGATCAGAGAAAGAAAAGTTCAAACACAAAGAATAGAAAACACAGGTTCTGGTTCTGGTCCATTCTCCCCTGCTCTTCTCCCTGTACACCAACCACTCCCCTCTCACCTGCACATGGACTATTCCAACCACTCCCCTCTCACCTGCACATGGACTATTCCAACCACTCCCCTCTCACCTGCACATGGACTATTCCAACCACTCCCCTCTCACCTGCACATGGACTATTCCAACCACTCCCCTCTCACCTGCACATGGACTATTCCAACCACTCCCCTCTCACCTGCACATGGACTATTCCAACCACTCCCCTCTCACCCTGCACATGGACTATTCCAACCACTCCCCTCAGGCAGGAGGCTGCGGTCCATCAGGACTAGAACCTCCCGCCACAAGAACAGTTTCTTCCCCTCTGCTGTTGGACTCTTGAACACTTCTTAACCTGTCCCCCCGCCCTTTATAAAGTCACTTTACTGCCCATCATACGTCACTTTACTTCACTGTACTGCTGTCACCTTACACTGTGTGCACCATGTGCACTTGTATATTGTAAATAGTAACTGTAACGCTATTTTAAATTTACATTTATTCTTTAGAAGTGTTTTTTATTCTTTATTTTTTATTATCTCTTTCTGACTGTTGCACTGAGCCAAAGCAATTTACAAGTCTGTGACCTGTTGTGAAAGCACCATCGTTCTCTTCACAGACCCCCATCAGCCTCTCGTTTGGTACAATCCGTTCTACAGCTTCATATTTGGTACAGTCCGTTCTACAGCTTCATATTTGGTACAGTCCGTTCTACAGCTTCATGTTTGGTACAGTCCGTTCTACAGCTTCATATTTGGTACAGTCCGTTCTACAGCTTCATGTTTGGTACAGTCCATTCTACAGCTTCATATTTGGTACAGTCCATTCTACAGCTTCATATTTGGTACAGTCCATTCTACAGCTTCATATTTGGTACAGTCCATTCTACAGTTTCATATTTGGTACAGTCCATTCTACAGCTTCATATTTGGTACAGTCCGTTCTACAGCTTCATATTTGGTACAGTCCATTCTACAACTTCATATTTGGTACAGTCCGTTCTACAGCTTCATATTTGGTACAGTCCGTTCTACAGCTTCATATTTGGTACAGTCCGTTCTACAGCTTCATATTTGGTACAGTCCGTTCTACAGCTTCATATTTGGTACAGTCCGTTCTACAGCAGTCATATTTGGTACAGTCCGTTCTACAGCTTCATATTTGGTACAGTCCGTTCTACAGCAGTCATATTTGGTACAGTCCATTCTACAGCAGTCATATTTAGTACAGTCCGTTCTACAGCTTCATATTTGGTACAGTCCGTTCTACAGCAGTCATATTTGGTACAGTCCATTCTACAGCAGTCATATTTGGTACAGTCCGTTCTACAGCTTCATATTTGGTACAGTCTGTTCTACAGCAGTCATATTTGGTACAGTCTGTTCTACAGCTTCATATTTGGTACAGTCCATTCTACAGCTTCATATTTGGTACAGTCCGTTCTACAGCTTCATATTTGGTACAGTCCATTCTACAGCTTCATATTTGGTACAGTCCGTTCTACAGCAGTCATATTTGGTACAGTCCGTTCTACAGCTTCATATTTGGTACAGTCCGTTCTACAGCTTCATATTTGGTACAGTCTGTTCTACAGCTTCATATTTGGTACAGTCCGTTCTACAGCTTCATATTTGGTACAGTCTGTTCTACAGCTTCATATTTGGTACCGTCCGTTCTACAGCTTCATGTTTGGTACAGTCCGTTCTACAGCTTCATATTTGGTACAGTCTGTTCTACAGCTTCATATTTGGTACAGTCCGTTCTACAGCTTCATATTTGGTACAGTCTGTTCTACAGCTTCATGTTTGGTACAGTCCGTTCTACAGCAGTCATATTTGGTACAGTCCATTCTACAGCAGTCATATTTGGTACAGTCCGTTCTACAGCTTCATATTTGTTACAGTCCGTTCTACAGCAGTCATATTTGGTACAGTCCATTCTACAGCAGTCATATTTGGTACAGTCCATTCTACAGCAGTCATATTTGGTACAGTCCGTTCTACAGCTTCATATTTGGTACAGTCTGTTCTACAGCAGTCATATTTTGTACAGTCCGTTCTACAGCAGTCATATTTGGTACAGTCCGTTCTACAGCTTCATGTTTGGTACAGTCCGTTCTACAGCTTCATATTTGGTACAGTCCGTTCTATAGCAGTCATATTTGGTACAGTCCGTTCTACAGCTTCATATTTGGTACAGTCCGTTCTATAGCAGTCATATTTGGTACAGTCCATTCTACAGCAGTCATATTTGGTACAGTCCGTTCTACAGCAGTCATATTTGGTACAGTCCGTTCTACAGCTTCATATTTGGTACAGTCCGTTCTACAGCAGTCATATTTGGTACAGTCCGTTCTACAGCTTCATATTTGGTACAGTCTGTTCTACAGCAGTCATATTTGGTACAGTCCGTTCTACAGCTACATATTTGGTACAGTCCGTTCTACAGCAGTCATATTTGGTACAGTCCGTTCTACATATTTGGTACAGTCCGTTCTACAGCAGTCATATTTGGTACAGTCTGTTCTACAGCAGCCTCACCGTCCCCTGTATTCTCCACGGGGCCACGGTGTTATCTGCACATCCACTTTTAGCCGAGTCCCCGGAGCCGGGAGTGTCTCTGGGGTTGAGCTGAACAGCTTCCTGGAGACACACGTTAGCGATCGTGTTAGCGCAAAAACACAACATCAAACCTTTGAATTCAGATGTGAGACATGAGAAGTTCTGCTGAGATGGATCCATTTGAATGAGATTATGTCTTTTCTGCTCATGTGTAAAGAAAATCAGAATCAGAATGATTTGTATTGCCGTTGTAAACCATCGACTCATTTATTGCCCCGTATGTGTTTTTATCTTTGCATTTCCTGTTTTTAAACTGTTTGAGTCTCTGATCTGTGACGACGAATGGACAACTTTGAAAAGTCCTCAGAGAAACTCCTGTCGTGATTTAGGGCTGTACAAAACTAAATATAATTGGGTTTAATGTAATTATAAGTAACAGGAAGTCACAAACGAGGGATTAGCTTCGGCTCATGGAGAAAACAAGTTCTACAAATATATATGAGGAAGTCAGAATCTTTCATAAAAGTTCTTCAGCAGAAATAACAAGTGTTCAGTGCGCTATAGATATTTACAGAGCTCTAACCTGGAGACTTGAGCTCTAACCTGGAGACTTGATCTTTAACCTGGAGACTTGATCTTTAACCTTGATAAAATGGGTGGAGCCTGTTGTGCTCCTGCTTGGTTGGAATCCTGCAGCCATCCGGCCCTTTGTGGAGCGAGGTGAAGACGACTATGGTCTAAAGGAAACATGTAATTTAGTTTAATACAATGTTGTATGAATAAAATACACTCTCACGCTGTGTGCAGCAGACTAACCGGAAACTACAGCCGTAAGCATAGGGACCTTTAATGACGACTATCAGGAGACTACAGCCGTAAGCATAGGGACCTTTAATGACGACTATCAGGAGACTACAGCCGTAAGCATAGGGACCTTTAATGACGACTATCAGGAGACTACAGCCGTAAGCATAGGGACCTTTAATGACGACTATCACAGAAACTACAGCCGTAAGCATAGGGACCTTTAATGACGACTATCACAGAAACTACAGCCGTAAGCATAGGGACCTTTAATGACGACTATCACAGAAACTACAGCCGTAAGCATAGGGACCTTTAATGACAACTATCAGGAAACTACAGCCGTAAGCATAGGGACCTTTAATGACGACTATCACAGAAACTACAGCCGTAAGCATAGGGACCTTTAATGACGACTATCACAGAAACTACAGCCGTAAGCATAGGGACCTTTAATGACGACTATCACAGAAACTACAGCCGTAAGCATAGGGACCTTTTATGACGACTATCACAGAAACTACAGCCGTAAGCATAGGGACCTTTGATGACGACTATCACAGAAACTACAGCCGTAAGCATAGGGACCTTTAATGACGACTATCACAGAAACTACAGCCGTAAGCATAGGGACCTTTTATGACGACTATCACAGAAACTACAGCCGTAAGCATAGGGACCTTTAATGACGACTATCACAGAAACTACAGCCGTAAGCATAGGGACCTTTAATGACGACTATCAGGAAACTACAGCCGTAAGCATAGGGACCTTTAATGACGACTATCACAGAAACTACAGCCGTAAGCATAGGGACCTTTAATGACGACTATCACAGAAACTACAGCCGTAAGCATAGGGACCTTTAATGACGACTATCACAGAAACTACAGCCGTAAGCATAGGGACCTTTAATGACGACTATCAGGAGACTACAGCCGTAAGCATAGGGACCTTTGATGACGACTATCACAGAAACTACAGCCGTAAGCATAGGGACCTTTAATGACGACTATCACAGAAACTACAGCCGTAAGCATAGGGACCTTTAATGACGACTATCACAGAAACTACAGCCGTAAGCATAGGGACCTTTAATGACGACTATCAGGAGACTACAGCCGTAAGCATAGGGACCTTTGATGACGACTATCACAGGAAACTACAGCCGTAAGCATAGGGACCTTTAATGACGACTATCACAGAAACTACAGCCGTAAGCATAGGGACCTTTAATGACAACTATCACCGAGCATAGGGACCTTTAATGACGACTATCACAAAAACTACAGCCGTAAACATAGGGACCTTTAATGACGACTATCACAGAAACTACAGCCGCAAGCATAGGGACCTTTAATGACGACTATCACAGAAACTACAGCCGCAAGCATAGGGACCTTTAATGACGACTATCACAGAAACTACAGCCGTAAGCATAGGGACCTTTAATGACGACTATCACAGAAACTACAGCCGTAAGCATAGGGACCTTTAATGACGACTATCACAGAAACACAGTGTTTTCAGAAAATTGATGAGATGTTGCGGAGGAAGGAGGAAGCGGGCCACCTTCACTGTCGGACCAAAGTTCAAGACCACACCCAGACCTGGTCTTTCTGCTTCTACGTATGGGCCCCAGGATGACCTCCTGATAAGCCACGCCCCCTTTACACATTTACTATCAGTGACCAATCTATGGGGAGTCTTCACAGGGACTGACCTCCATAGTTTGAGGCCCCTAGGGACAGATTTTGGCTCAGCTCATAGGGACACTAGTCCCTATGGGGAAATACGAGCTCAGAGTCAGGGTTAGTTTTTCATTGTAAAGAGAATAAAATATTGTCTTCTTTTCCGGTCAAATTTTGAATCACGTCCACAATAACAATAATATTAAAATAATGAAATGTTTTATTTAGATGGTGCTTTTCTGGGCGCTCAGGGTTGCTCGACAAAAGGTACAAAGTTAAAAGCAAAAAACATTTAAAATCATAAAGTTAAAAATAGACAGTGGACTTTGGCCCAAAGGTCTCCCATCACAGTCTTTAACCAGGCCGTGCTTAGCTTCAGAGGTCTGACAGGATATAAATGAAATAACTATCCAATTGTTTTCCCTGCACCAGCACAAAAGGCACCAAATCTTTTTTTAAATTAAGAATAAAAATAAGTCCCAGTTTGAGACATTTGCACATCATCCATAAGAAAACAAACACTCGGACAAGGTGTGAACGAGGAGAACGCTCAACAGCACAAAGGCAGAGTCTGGTGTCTCAGCGAAGTGGACAATGGTTCTACAGTGAAAAGTGTAAAGTTTATATGTTTATGGAGAGTTTATGCTAGAGTTAGAGATGTTATCTTATATTAGTATTATTAAAGTTATTAATCATTTACCTTGTGCTGTGTGCTCCTCATTCTACTGTTATGTAACCTGTGAGGCAACACTGAACTTTCCCCACTGAAGGATCTCTTAATCTTATCATGTTGACTAAGCAGGGCAGGGCCTGGTTAGTGCTGTGATGGGAGACCTCTGGGAACAGCAGGTGCCACAGTGGGGCGGCTGCGGCAAGTGCCAAACTGTGGTTGTGTCCTTAGGCAAGACACTTCCCCCACATTAGAATGAGTCTGGTGTGTGTGAATGGTTGGTGTCTGTGTGCCACAGGGCAGCTGTGGCTACAGTAGTAGTTTATCATAAACAGCACTGAGTTTGGAGAGAATGACTACTGATGTGAAGAGACTTTTAGAGTCCAAAATAGCGCTGCATAAAACCCACTGATTATTATTGAAAATTGGCTGTACCTGAAATTAGCCAGGACTAAAAATACATGTTTTCTTGCCTCCAAATACAACAACGTTTTCCATGTTAAAGATAAAGATTTAGGTTAATATGATCCAATACATGTTCTTAACACACAGAATATCTGCTTGTATTGACACAAATGCTCAGCACCAGAATCCGTGCTGCAGTTCTGACTTGAAAAGGCGCCATGTTCTGAGAAGTAAAACATCCAAGACATTAGCACACCCATTCTCACAAAGTTACTATGAATGAGGACACAGGAGCGGTCTACAGCAACGGTACACAAGTGGAACTAAACAAAAATCTTCTGTAATTCAACTTACAACTTCAAACTAATATGACAGACTTATTCAACTCTTTACTATTTGTTATGTTAATCATTGTCTCAGAGCTTGTAAAAACCCCACATTAAACACACGCCTCAGAACATCGTTTGAAATGGCCTGTAATCCATCATCATCAGGAACATAACAAACTGGGGCTGGATATTTGCCACTTTACTTGGAATGAGTCTACATATTAAATCACTTTCACATTTTCAGTTGTCTCTCAGAAGCAGAGTCCACGCAGAAAGGACTGATTGGACCTGGGACCTTCTTGCTGTGAGTAATGAATGCTAACTACCCGTGTGAACCATTGGCCCACTGACGTATGAATAGTGCTAGAATGGAAAGGCTGGATGCACTCTGCAGCACAGCCAGATATTTAAAGTAGAGAATGACAGCAGCGTGTGGGTGGAGCTGACTGGAGCTGCAGCGGTGGGACAAACATAGTGGTCCATCACAGACGCACATTCATCTCTGAATCAGAATCAGGTGGAAACGGCCACAAGCACAGATCGCAAATATGGCTGTAATTAAGACTGTTTGGGTTATGTACTTCAATCAATAGAGCTGTAGTTCCCAAAGTCTGGTGCCGAGACCTCCTGGGGTCTTCAGAGAGACTGCGGGTGTCCACACAAGCAGGGATGTTCACTTTGAGGTCGTCTTTACATAATCCTATAGATGGATAATTGACATAATTGTAAATCTACAGCTGGGGTCTCCAATCTTTCTCAGAGAGCAACTTTTATACAACAGAGAGCTATTCCCTTTTGTACGCGTGATAAACATCTGTATAATAACAGATGTAGGATATACCAGAATACTGTAAAACCATATTTCTTAAAATAGTTATGTAATTACTCCAAATACAATCAATCATGATCATGTGTTAAACTAAATCATTTGGGGAGCTACCTAAAAGGAGCTATCTACAGTATATATCAAGTGAAATTATATCCTAACTATACATTGTTTCAGCAGAGACAAATACAAAACATTGAATAGCCTTAAACTGGAGCTGGATCCATCAGGACTGAAGTATGAAGGGTTATATTAACACTGTGTGCACGGCCCCATGACACCTGTACATCAGAAGTGAATTGGCCATTTGTGTGCGAGACTGGTTACTTATCATTTTGTAATGCTCCAAGTGTCTGCACCTCCACAGGGCCCAGAAACACTGCTGAGGGCAGACTACTCAGAGCCGCACAAAACCTATGAAAATACAACAATCTCGTAAACAAGAGACGTGCACAGCCGAGATCCACAATAGAGCTTTATTGTCATTCATCAAAATAACAAACTTTGTATCTCTGCAAGCTACTGTAACAAACTCGATCAGAAATTATAAAAGAAATGAACAGGAAAAGCTCTATTTACACCAAGAGTTCAGTACTTTCGCCTGCACCTCGTGAAGGAGCAAATGCCAAGTTTGAAGACGTTTGGTCAGATTGAAGCGGACCAGAGCTGAGCGCTGCAGACGTCACAGTGTGAGGTCTGCAGGGCCAGGCCAGGGCAGTGCCAGGGCTGCCACGCCTTTGGTCCCAGGGTTGGACAGGTCTGATCAGAGACGGACAGAAAGAGGCATTGGCTGATGCTCCTCAGTGCATTGGGGAAGTCACAGGTTCATTTTAAACAGTAAACATTTTACTGCTAAAAAGCAACAGAAGAAAAAGCCCTATCAAAAATTGAGCATCTCGATACAAAAAAGGGAATTATTACAACGCAAGGAGAAAACAAGACAATTTTCAAATCTGGGTAGATTGTAAATTTTATTGGAAAACAAAAATATACAACTTGGAATGGATTGTTTGAGGCATGACCAGAGGCCATTCAAAAAAAGAGAATAGTGAGTAAAACATTAAAAAGCATGTTTAAGATGAGTTTGTGGTGATAGAGAACAGCAGATATAAAAAGAGTTTGTACGAGTACCTAGGAGATACACCCGTGTCATTTTTTTGCAGTAGTGCAATGCTGAGAGATTTCCATATATACTTTGTCTGTAGTCCATGCAGAGTTCAAACTCCTCTACATCGTTTCCATGCCAACAGTGTTGACAGGTTTCCAATGTCGCCGTGCACAAAGGGCCCCGAGCTCCAGACAGGAACATCCCAAATTCTGCGGCTCCCAGGGGCCCCCGCGGGCTTCAGGTTGTACAACCATCGCGTCACTCCAAAACACCATGACAGCAAAAGAAAAGGGACATGGGGACAAGAGCCTATGCAGTTTACATGCAGTTCCTTTGGACAGCAGAGGGGCGGGGACCAAGGGGCTATTAAGATTTTACAGATAAATTACACAAAGAAAAAGGCAAATTATTTATATACGAAATCTGTACAAGGCCTTCACTTCGCCGTCATCATTTGTACGAACTCTGTAACGCAAAAAAAAACAAGGTATTTTAGGACCAAAATAAAAGATGTATAGAGAAACCTACACAGTATTCAGACCAATCAAAACACTCGAGTTTCAGGTTTTCTGCATCAGAAATGTACAAACCTTCATAATTGACTTGTCCATCTCCGTCGATATCTGCTTCTCTGATCATCTCATCCACCTCTTCGTCGGTCAGTTTCTCTCCCAGGTTTGTCATCACGTGGCGGAGCTCAGCAGCACTGATGTATCCGTTTCCATCCTGAGATTAAACGTTTTTATCAAACACATGAAGAACTTAAGTGAAGAGTGAGCTCGAGTTTCACTTCGTACCTTGTCGAAAACGCGGAATGCTTCTCTGATCTCCTCCTCGCTGTCCGTGTCCTTCATCTTCCGTGCCATCATGGTGAGGAACTCTGGGAAGTCTATCGTTCCATTGCCTGAAGGACATTTTAGGAGGTTTTTAACAAGATTGGTTCAACAGCAATAACATGATCTCACATAATGCTTCCATTAACAGACTTTGCTAATACTTTTCACATTACAGAAATAACATACAATTGTCTAAAGACTGAACCCATACTGCTCTGTTTTACGCTTGTTATGTTTAAGTTTGTCTTTGACACATCTTTGAAAAGTGGCTTCATGAAGAGAAGTTCTGCAAAAGGATCAAATCTACCCAGACTGCCCCACTTTAGACTCCCGTCGCCCCCTTCACTATAAACGTGTCTGGCGGAAGACTTTCTGCTCCAGCCATGTTGGAAAGAGTAAAAGCAGAGTTACCGTCAGCGTCCACCTCGTTGATCATGTCCTGCAGTTCTGCCTCTGTGGGGTTCTGTCCGAGCGAGCGCATGACTGTGCCCAGCTCTTTGGTGGTGATGGTGCCATCGCCGTCTTTGTCGAAGAGCGAAAACGCCTCTTTGAATTCTGCCGATAAAAGAAATGTGTCAAAGTATGAGAGCCATGAGGCCAAACTATGTCAAATATGACTCGTTCTTACACAGAACAAAGTACTCTTGGCTGTTCTAAAGACTAGAACTGGGAGGTTTCCAGGTTAAAAGGCCTCAGAATGGAGTACTTATTTAAAAACCAATAGATTTGCTTTTTATTTTAAAGTGTTATGCATTAGAAAGTCAAGGGGCTATGCATGGAGAAGATTTAAGTTTAAGTACTGTTTCCATGTTATGATAATCCAAGTTAAAATACTCTTATCAGTACAAAACAAAGGCATTTAATCCAAGTCCAAAGTGACCACACATCAACATCACTGTGTTTCGGATACAAACTGGCAGTGAGGAGAGATGTTTGGAGTTACAACTTGTGCCATTTCTGGTCAAAACAACAAAGCAGACTGGCGTAAGACGAGGGGGGGGGGCTACGGTGACACACTCAGAAAGAGACAAGGCCGGTGGGCAGTGAGCAGCGGTGGCGTGTAACAGATTGTCAACGTCATGAGAGCTGCAACCTGCGTTTGTGAGGTCAAGCATGAGGTGGAATGACACCCCTCTTTAGAGAGACTGTACCACAGCATGGAAGAAGAATGGTTTATTATGTACTTTTAAAAACAGCAATAATGTGTGCCTTCAGTCAGCTGCTCTGGTCGTTTCTTTTGCTAACGTGGGCAATCGAAACTTGCTTTTCAGTAAACTCACTGCTAGCTTATACAATTAATCCATGCTGTGTTCTCCTAGCCAATCCGAGTCAGCCTTGTGCAACAAAGAACAGAGCTTGGATCTGCTCTGCCCAAGTCACTATGGATACAGACCTGAGCCAAACTAGAGCAAAAACAAGCAGAGTCTTATGAAACTGCATGGATGACTATTAGCACTGAAATGAGTCAACCTATCCATTTGGCCGTTAAAGCGTACAATGCTCATCTATGCAGACACTGGTCTGAAGCAGGGCCCTTCAGAAACATGGTCGGGCAGTTTATGTAACCACGTCTAGGCTCCAACTTATTGCATTTTTAGCGTGAAGCATTCCTTTCGCAGCGAACACACCCAGGGCAAAGGACACATTATCTCAGCAGCGAAACACTTCCAGATTACATCATTTATTACACGGCAGCAGCCATTAAAATGCAAAATTTTCCATGAGGAGTTTCTTCTTGGCCGCACAGAGAGGGAGAAAGGCCAGGAGCAGGCCAGGAGCAGCACAGTTTCATTCATTCCAGTTTTATGACCAGTCGCGTAGAACGCCTTAAAAGGTAAAAGTGTAAATCCACGGGGAGAGCGGCGCTAGGATCCATATGACATGGCACTTTGTAGGATATGAAGAAAGGAGATCAATGCAGCCATGGCTTACCGGCAATCTGCTCCTCTGTAAGCTGGTCGGCCTGAAAAACAAAACGAGGAGTAGTTAGAGAGAGCACAAGCAGATACATGCAGAGGCTTAAGAACTGCCAATGTGTTGACTTGGCAAATGTAAGTACAGTAGAAGCTATGCAGACGTGGATTAGCCATTACTACACATTCTATACACAAGACCATAAAACACGCAGATTTCTAAAACATATGGTTTAATATGCAGCATTTGGACTCAGTGAAAGATGGTATAAAGGATTAAAAACAAAAAAAAGGTGAAGTTTGTTGAATTCAGGCCGTGAGTGAGTGAAAGATCATGTGGAACAAGACAACGCCTGGTCGACCCTCCACAATGAATGAAAATTGGCGGTAAACGTTGCTGGGCAGACAGGCCACAGCCTCCGGTCCATCCCCGGTCCATCCCCGGAGAAGGAGACTGAGAAGAAGAACCTTTAATATGGCGTTATTTAATGTGTAGTGATCATAAACGAGGGGGAAGGTGTCTGTAGAACATTATAACTCAAACAGCTCGACCAAGCCAAAGGAGCCCAGGGCGTTTCTGGCCAGTGCAGCCAATGGATCCCAGTTTGACAATGTTAAACCTCAGACATATTTATGAATACCATCTCATACTTATGATATATGCATGTTTGATGATATATGCATGTTTATGATATATGCATGTTTGATGGGAAGCTAGGTTGAAGATTTGGCCTGAATGACAGATTTACAAAGCTAAAAACCCCTCTGTATATGGTGTAGAAAGGGCTCTACACGGGGACAAAAGGAGAAGCGATCTCCCCATGCATAATGTAGGATTGTTCATTGGATATTTAGTGATCTGGTCCCGCATGCGCCAGAACCAAGCCGTTCAATGGTTAATCATCGAAAATGGCGACAAGTTAATGACATAAAGCCTTACTATAACATAGAGTTCTGAGGCGTAATGTTAGTTCTTCAATATGAAAGACCGAGCACTCGCCCATTCGAAAGACCTCTTTAGATGTGGATGTTGTAGAGTTGTTTGCTAAAGTCCAGAGTGGTCTTTCTGCAGAACAGCGCTGCCTAGCAACAAGCCCCATTACAGCTCAGTCTGAGGCAGAAGCCAGGACTGCGCCTTCACAGAGCCACAGACAGCTCACACTCTACCGGGGCTGCTTCAGCGACAGTAAATACATGCTTCTTACCATTTTGATGCAGGTAGATCCGCTGGTTTAAGATGAAATCCGAAAGAGAGTCGTGGAGATACGCAGCGGCTCCGGATTCAGCGCGGCACAGGCTGAGGACTGGCATATAACCGCTCAGTCTATCTCCGCCTCTCACACGTATCCCTCCGCCAACTTCCCTTTTCCCTGCGCTCCATATGCCACTGTAAACGTCCATATTCTCCCATGTAACCACTTATAAAAACACACAAAGAGCCCTGCTGTTTAAATATCGACTCAAACGGCGTGTATTTGCCTTACATTTGGATTAGTTGGGGATTTAGTGAGGGACTATATCGCAGCGCATGGATACATTCTGCTAGTGTGTGGCGCGGTGCAAGACGTAGCGGAAAGAAATCGCGCGCGCTGATTGGTCAGTTCGTACCTGCAATGCGTCACTCGCTCGGTCCGCGCGGCCGCTGCGTCTCCGCCATAGACTCCAGAGGCGGATCACACACACGACAGGGCTGGGGGCATGTGGAGCCCCCCCCCCACCACTCACGCTGGACTACACTTTTATTTAACATTAAGTGGATTAATTTTTTTCTTTATAGTGTAGTGCTCATGAAAACAGCTTTTTGTCTAACCAGTGCAGTGATCTTGGGTGCCCCAAACATCAGGATTCAGGGCATTATTGGAAAGATTATCACATTTTAAAATTAAAAAAATAAAATAAAACCATGTAAACAAGGTGTGTTTTGCTGTGTGTTCCTGGCATGACCACACGTTGGAGGCACAATGTCTCTCAGCTGGCCTGGGAACGCCTCGGGATTCCCCCAGATGAGCTGGAGGAAGTGTGTGTGGATATGGAAGTCTGCAAGTCTCTGCTTAGTCTGCTGCCCCCATGACGTGGAAGTGGAAGAAGATGGATGATGGATGATGTTTGTAAAGTGTATATATATAGGGAAACTGAAAGTACTTTTCAGAACAAGATAATATAACTGAAAAGATTTGAAGCAATTTGGACTTCATTTAAATTAAATAAAAACAATTCTAAGAAGCAGTGTTGCCAACTTAGCGACTTTGTCGCTAGATTTAGCGACTTTTCAGACCCCTATAGCGACTTTTTTTCAAAAAAGCGACTAGCGACAAATCTAGCGACTTTTTCTGGTGTTATTGGCGACTTATCTGGTGTTTTGGCGACTTATCTGGTGTTTTGGAGACTCGTGAAGCACGTATTGTTCTGCTGTCCTCAACGTGAGCCCCTCCCCCGTCCCAAAGCACTTACAGGCGGCCAGTCTCACAGTAGCCTTGCGCAGCAGTCCCAGCTACAGTCTATGGGCGGAGCAGAGAGAGAGGAGACTCAAAAGCACAGGAAGTTTTCAGGCTGCTGCAGACTGAACTTCAGCTCCACCACCACCACCACACATCCAAAGCTCCCCGGCCACTCCTACCACCGCCACCCCCCACTACCCCCCACTCCATCCGCGGCATTATATTTTTTTTTTTTTTATCTTAATTTCATTCTTCATCAGCCATTCAAATATATATCAATTTATTCACCTCTCTCTTGCTCCTCAAATCTTTATCTTTACCATCTTTAAATTGACCTTATATCATTTCCTCTTTTAATAGCATTGTTTTGTTGAGTGTCTACTTATATTACATCAGACACATCCTAATCTTCATATTACAAACCACCATAACAAGTTCCCCAAAACACTCAACTTCGCACTCCACCCTCCCCCCTATCAACTCAAATATCACTATCAAAAAATCCCCCACTACTAACATTTATAATACCCTACCTACCCAACTTCCCCCTATACTATTCCCCATAAAAACTCCTATAAAAACAAACCAAACCCATACTACCCAATCAACCCACAAAACCCTAAAAAACAAATAACATCCCCTACAAACCTAAATCACACAACACCCAAACCCCCCACACACCACACAACAACCCAACCCTACAATTTTTCCTCCTCACATATTCCAATCTCAACCACACCCCCAACACCTAAATTTTTCCATCCCTCTTTAACCCTTCTATCTATTCTATATTCCCTATATTACCATCTTCCCCCCCCTCCCCCCACCCCATAAAACCATTAAAAAAAAACAATAAAACCAAAACCCCATATCACAACAAACCCACCATCCATCCACCATAATAAATTTTCACCAATTACCATCCATTAACTACCCCCCTATAATAATCCACCTACCCACCCTCCCACCAACCACCTACACTAACCCACCCCTATAATACCTCTATCTATTATTTTTTTTTTCAACCCATCCCTCATATATATTATCACCTCAATTCTAACATTTTCTTCTCTTTCTCTTCCTTCTCTTCTATCTCAATCTTACTCCATCCCCACTACTTTCTCAAAAACTAAACTAAATCTTCCCAACTCTCCATACACCATCCTATCACACTAACCAACCCACCACCACCCCATACCTTTCCCACCTCTAAATCTACACAAACCACTTTTCAAAATATATAAAAACACCTATTAACCATTCTCACATTCTAAAACCCTATCACATTCTTCCTTTCCTTTCATAATTTATCTTTAACTAATATCCTCTTCTCATCATCTTTTAACCATTCTAACTATATCCTTATCAACTTCTTTCATTACAACTCCAAAAATTCAAACACAACCCCCCTTTCACACCCAATCACCCCATTACTTCCTCATACAACATATATCCTCCTTTACTCTATATCTATACATTTCAATATCCTTTCTAATTAAATACTCTAATCTATACCTTTTAATAATACTTCTCTATAAATACCTCCCCTCCAATTCAAACTCCCCCAAACCCCACCAACCCTTCTTACAAATCCATTTTCTATATTAAAACCACAATCCTCCACCAACTACTTCCCAACATAACACTACCTTCAACATACAACCATATCCAAATCATAAACCCAATCCCCTTATTAAATTTCATTTTTCTCACCACCCACACATCCCCCCAACCCAACATCATTTTCTCATAAAAAAATACTATACTTAAACACCCAAACCTCTTTAAAAACTCAAAATACCCACCATACAACCTTCCCACACCCACTAACCACCCCCATCACACACACCCATCACACACCACCCCCATAACACACACCTACATCTATTACAAACACCCACATACTCTTAAACCCCAATACCCCATTTCACCAATTATCATTCCTCCCTCATTTAAAATTAATTATCTATAATCTAACACCTAAACCTCCCCAACATAAACATCACACCCCAACCCCCTTCACAACCCTTAACAAAACACTTAAAAACTTTTCATTCTTTTCATTCCTTATTATATCATACATCTCTCCCTAAACCCTCCCCCAAAAAAACAATATTCTTTAAACTCCTTCTAATAAATAACCATCAAAACAACTTATCCAACCCCAAAAAAAAAATAAAAACCCAAAAAACACCAAAACCATCTACCCCATAATCACAACCCCCACATAAAACTCAACATCAAAAAACATTAAATATACACTCCATATATACCTTCACCACCTAATAACTCATACATACAAACCCCCAAAAAAAAAATCCCCTACCCCAATTCTAAAACCTAATCATACAATCAATATCAACAACCCACAATAAAATAAAAACTTTTCCTAACCCTCTTCTCCTCATTTTCTCCATTCATCCAATCAACAAAAACTACTACCCCTATCATACAACATTCCACTTTCACACTATTCTAACCCCAAAACCAAAACCTTCTAAACTCTCATTACACCCCATTCCTTCAATCCCATATATCACATTATAATTCCAAACAACCCACACATATCTTTCCCCCCTCCTCCCCAACATTCCCCAAAATTCAAAACCATTTATCATCTATACCACCCATCATACCAATTCTATAAATATCATCTCACCATATAAAAATATTTTATA